AAATTTCACGCACACGAGATAATTCCTCTATCAAAACTTTCACAGGACCACACGTGCTACTCAGCCGGGAGTGCGTGAAGGCTGAATCCAAATTTGCGAGGCCGTATATTGGTAGAGAAGATCACCCTAAAATTTCAGGTTCTCAAATTCCGCGGTCCCCAAGGTAATGATTTGCCTCGCCGAAACTTTTACGGGGCCGTAAATGATGTCTGGATGCACGGGAAAGCTGAATTTAAAACTGCAGGATTGTATGCGGACAGAAGACATTACCACAAAATTTCAGCCTCCTCGCTTTTATGGTTCCCGAGAGCCCACCAAAATTTTCACGGGACGTAGGTGAGACCCAAGAGCTGTGGGAACGATGAATTTGAATTTGCGAGATCATACATGGGCAAAGAGTCATTACTGTAAAATTTCAACTTCCTAGATTCCGCGGTTCCGGAGATAATTTACCCGCTAGAAGTTTCACAAGGTCGTATACATTATCTCGGACACGGAAGGCTGAATTTAGATTTTCTAGGTCACGCGTGGGCAAGGAACATACCCACAAAATTTCAGTTTCCTAGCTCCCGGGTTCTCGAGATAATAATTCACCACCAAAATTTTCAAGGGGCCGTAGGTGATACCCGGGATCGCGGGAACGCTGAATTTGAATGTACAAGGTCGGGCGTGGGCAAGGGGTCATTACCCTAAAATTTCAGCTTTGTAGATTTCGTGGTTCTCGAGATAATAATTTACCCGCCAAAACTATTACGGGGCCGTACGTGTAAGACAAAGCTAAATTTCATTTTTCTGGATCGCGTGTGGGCAGAGGACATCCCTACGTTTATTGGTTCTCAAAATCGTTTTCCTGCCCAAAAATTTAAACATATCTTTGAGATATCCGTGCGTGAAATTCGGAAGCACATCAGCTACGATGTTCAAACACGCAGGTTGCAAAATGATTCCAAAAGTTCAACCTCTCAACTTTCCCCGTTGCTTAGTTGAAAACGCGTAGCAAAGTTCACTCGTTTTTTCGAGCACACATACACTCTGATTCAACAGTGCGCATTTTTGCATTTGCATAAGATGCAAAAACGCATGACCAGGAAATTCCAAGAGAATGCAATATGAGCTAAGCAAAGCCAAATTTTCACTAAAAGTGCGTTTTACAAAAATATAAAATGATGATTTGAATAGAAAGCGAACATTTGGGCTAAGAAACATTAAATTTACAGCGAACCGTTCAAAAATGATATGAGTGAAAGGAGAGCAAAGGCCAAAACGGTTACTTATTTTCAACACAGGAATCAAAACTGGAATGTGGCATGTTGCCGGGAGCGAGCTGCAACCATTGGTACAGAAAGTGCTTGCAGCTAAAAGTCAATAATCATCCTGACGATGTTGAAAAAAACTTGTTTTTCAAAATAGCGAGAGCATCCTTCAACGAATATAAAAAAGCAAAAACTCAAATTCAAAAGGAAGAAAAGTAAACTCAAGTGGCACGTGCCAGGACATTTGCACACGTGCACATGTGAACAAGTATGTCAAGTGCGTATGTATGTACATAGCTGAGTATGTATAAGTATGTGAATG